AAAGCATTTGCCTAGCATGTGCAAGGCCTGAGTTCAGTTTGCAGCACTGGAAAAAGAAAGGAGCATACTAAACCCAAAGGAAGAAGAAAATAAAGGCAATAAATTGATACTATGAGTAATTATGTACCAACAAATTAGACAACAAAAGACAATTCCTAGGAAGAGACTTGAGAGGTAGATAATCTAAATAGATCTGTATCAAGTAAAGAGATTGAATTAGTAATCAAAAAACTGTCCACAAAGAAAAGTCTAGGCTTAGATGGTTTTACTGAATTCATCTGTATTTTATATGCATATACAGTGATACATTCATATTACTGTATATGGTATACATATGCCATATATCCACCCACATACAGTAATATATCCATATACAGTATGGTATGTTCATGTATAGTAATACTGTCATTCATCCATAAAAAACTGATACGTACTATTGTACAGTGCCAAAAGTCCATGTAATATGTGATTCTATTCTTAGGAAAATCTTGAATAGGGAAATTTATGGAGACATGAAATAGTGGCTGCTTGGAGTTCACAGGAAGTTTGAGAGTGTTTGGGGGAGATGATTCTAAAGTGTACAGGTTTTCTTTTGATGCAGTGAAATTGTCTAAATGACTGATATTTGGACATATCTGTTAACAGTTTTTGAATTTTTTTTTACTTTAGAAGGGTGAATTACATTCCAGTACAGCTATATTTAATAGTCATGTTATTGTCACATCAGAATGTAATTCTTCATATCATTGGGCAGTATTGCACATGTGCAGCTATTCGGGAGCCTTGGAGCACCTCAGCAATTTATCAAGACCCTATTTCTATGTAAAATTTTTAGGAAAAGGCTAGAGATGTAGCTCTGGTAGAACATTTGCTCACATGCACCCAAAAAAAGATATCAGATATTTAAAAACATACTTTTCCTATTAGCTCAGATTTATTTTTTACCCATTAGTTTTGAATAACATGCAGTGTGATTGGGTTGTAAAATCTTATAAGTATCTTTTAACTATAAATTCTTCACTTTAGTTTCTCCTTTCTGTTGAAAAAACTACATCTTTTGTCCTGTAGAGTTTCTCATAGTTTGGATTTTGCTTTTTGCATCCCATTGTGTAGTTTAACATGTTCTTGTTCCTATTTCCTGTGAATTGGCAGTTGGAGCTAGAGAACTTGATCAGATTTTGTCTGATCTTTTGTATCATTTCTAGTCATTCTCTTCATTGATGAGCAGTGCCTTTTCATGAGGGGTGAGGAGAATCACAAAATGGTGTTCTTATAATTCTGATAATCCTTCTGTCTTTATTATCCAAAGTATTTTTTATTGCTATATGATTGGAATATATAATAATGATACTCATTTTGGGGAATTGGTGTACATAATATATCTTGATCATTTTCATTTCCTTCCCCCACTCTCCCTTAACCTCCACCCTCTTTTTGATCCCTTTTCCCATCTCCAGAAAAACCTGCCATCTGGTTCCTGTATAAATAGAACTTCTGGTTTAGTGTTTTGAGGAATCTCCATACTGATTTCCCTAGTGGTTATACCAGTTTACACTCCCACCAACATTGTAGCTTCTTATCTGGTCAAATGGGACATTTGCTGCCCCATACACAGAATCAGGCTTTTCTCTAAAGGGCTGTGGGAAATGAAACTCAGAAGCCTTCATATTCTGTTAGACAACTCAGAAATACCATTTGTATTGGAAAGGCAGGACACATGGTTTCTTCTTTCTCCATTTTTAAAACTAGTTTTTAAAGTATTTAGTTCAGTAGCATCTTTGAAAGATGATGAATTAATTTGTTTCTGATGTCATATGAACTCATTAATTTAAACATATCTTATGTATTTCAGTTTATTGTCTCATTTTTGGCCAATGCAGACCTCCTCAGATTGCCTTAAATTTTGTCATACCCCAATTAAGAAATTTTCAGACACATAGTTATCCTTGGACATATTTTGTTGCCTGTTGTTTCATTGTAGTGTGTATGGGTGTGTGTGTGTTTTATATGTAAAATACTAGATAGGGTCAAAAGATAAATTAAGATACCATAAAATATTTTTACGGACCCTTTTTGCTCTGCCTATTTGAAGCTTCTCTCAGCTTACCATTCTGCTTCTCTTTTCCATACAGTCTTTATGTCTTCAGCTGTAACAAATTTAATAGAATGAAATTTTACAATGACTTGTGTAAAATCCAGTGTTTAGGTCCTGCTCTAACTTCTTTCCTAAACCCCAAACCAAGTTGAGAAATGTCACATATAAATATGCTCATGGATATTCTTACCAGAGATGTTCCACACTCAGTATGTCCCAAACCAAAATAGTTTTCTCCTTCCCCACCCTTAATACAAAATCGTGCCCAGGTGTTTTTTTCTCCTAAATCTTTCTGTTTTATTTTCTGTATCTTCATTGCCACTGATTTAATTTGGCTTTAGTGTATCATGCACTTGTACTATTGTAATAATTACCCTAAAATCTACCTTCTGTATTGCCACCAGAATGTTTTTAGAATGCAGATATGACTACATTGCCATTGTGGCTAGCCACATTTATTACAAAAGATCCTAGGTCTTTAAACTGAGTGCAGTGGCACACCCTAAAATGCCAATACTCTGGGAAGCTGAGGCAGGAGGATTACATGTTTGAGCCCAGCCTGAATAACTTAGCAAGACCCTGTCTCAAAATTTTTAAAACAGGGCTGGGGATATGGCTCAGTGAGAAAGCCCCTGGGTTTAGTTCTTTTTGTGGGGAAGATCCTAGGTCTTTAGTGTGGCATAGATGTCAGTGGCCTTGGACAAAATGATTTGTCTGAGCTTGTTTTCTCATCTGTAAAATTACCATCTAACTCATACAAAATAATATATCTAAAGCCCCTGATACTGTTGTCTGGTACATAATAGTCAGCTAGTACAAAGTTCATATATAAATTTCCACCTGAATATTCCTCTTAGAAGTATCTTGAGCCAATTTTATCCCTCTCCTTAACCTTTTCTGTCTTTGGGTTTAAATCAGAATTTAGGGTGCAAGTGAAGTGATCTCAGTTCAGTTTTAGCATAATTAAAACCTTAGTATCTCTAAAGTTGGCATCCAGTTTTGAGAAGTGGCTGGCTATTTAAACAAAGTCTTATAAGTATCACCATTTCTCCCATGCTCCCTAATTATTTTCGATGTTAACTGCTGTCTCATTACTTTCTCTATTCATCTTAGTCAGCTGCCTCACTTTATATATGCACTAAGCTACTTCATTTGAATTTCTAGTCCTCTGATAATTTTTAACCAGCTAACCTTTATATGTGTATACTCGAACTATGCCCTATGTCATGTAAGAAATATAATAGAAATTCTGAATTTTGATCTTCATTTAATTTTGTATTGTTTTGTTTTTGTGGTGCTGAAGATCAAATTGAGGGTGTCGTGCATGCTAGGCAAGAGCTCTACTACTGAGCTGTACCCTTCACCCCTACATTTAATTTTCATCCACATTTTTCTTTTTTTCTTTTTTTCATTTTTTTGGTACCGGGGATCGAACTGGGTCCTTGCACCTGCGCAGCAGGCAGCAAAACCACTGAGCTAAATCCCTGGCCCCATCCACATTTTTCTAGTGTGAATGAATAGTGAACATTTAGTGAATACTTGTTTTATGGCAGGAATTGTGCACATTTAATCTTCTGGGTTGTCTTAGAAGTATAATGTCTGCAATTCCTGTAACTTGACTTAAGACACAATGCCTGACTGGCATATGGAAGAACCACAGTTCCAAACCTAAAATTTTTCTAGTATAAACAATTCTGTCAACTAAGCTATGTACCTTACTTGGCAAAAATTTTTCAGGCCATCTGAAACAAAACCATAGGATTTTTTTTCCCCTTAGAATATATTGTTTAGCAACTGCCACTTTCATAAACATGTATACTGTTTCACTAGTTATTTGAAATTAAAAGGTAGGGGAAAAATAATTTTTTAATCACTGAACTCACTGTGTAGTCCAAGCTGGCCTCGAATTTGAAACTATCCTCCTGCCTCAGCCTCCCTGAATACTGGAATCGCAGGTGTGCACTACCACGCCTGGCTTCATTTAAGTTTATACTGAAAGCTTAGTTCTGACTCTACTTCCCTGGAGGGCAAGTCTTAGTAACTTCTGGTCACTTTTCAGGAAATGAAAACAATGTTTTCAGGAACTAATAAACTTGATTCACAGTTTAAAATATTCCTCCTATAGTAGAAGTGTAAGGTTTGATTTGCTTCCTTTTTTGTTCTGTCTTCTCACACTTCTATTCCTGCTCCCCATGTACTGACTGATTTCTGGCCCTTTCAGGATTAGGAGAGGCGGAGGTTGAGGTAGAAGCTAGCATTGATTATGTTAACAGTTACTGTTCAAAACATTTAGCATGTCTTATGTCATTGAATCCTTGTACCTATTTTACTGAGGGAATTAAGGTACAGAAAGTTTAGTGACGTGCTTAAATTCACACAGCCGTAAATGACAGAACCAAGGTGCAAACCCAGCATTCTGGCTCCAGGGTCTTTGCTCTCAACCACATCACACCTTAACCACATTTATGTACTGGTGGAAGATAGTAAGCATACTTTCTGGTCTTGGCCAGTGTTTTAATCAGTCTCAGGACCTTTGCGGTTTTTTCAAGTGTGGCATGTATTTCATAGACCTGAAACAAAGGACAAACGTGCTTCTACGTCTTTCCTTTGCAGAAGAGTAGAAAGGAGTGGGATAGAACTTATAACACACTGCTTCCTCTGAGCAGAACCCCTTTTCTAATCTTTAATTCTGTGGTCATTGAAGATGGGTGGAACTCATATTGAAAAAGTTTTCCACTCCCTCTTTGCATGGGTAGCCTCATCCCTCACTTGGAAATGTAGTGCAGTATCTATTGTTGGGGGCTTCTAACCAAACCAAAATTGAAGTGATTTCATTTTAATACCCTGTTGCACACTTTCCAAATATGTTGTTTAATTTCTTGCCTTTATACCTTTGTTCATGCAGATGGTCCCTGGATTATGACTGTCATTTGCTCTGAAGGCATGTTTCCTTCCTGAACCACATGATCCCAATCAAAGTAAGCACTTTTGATGGCCTAGCTTTAAAAGCAGAAGCCAGTTTCCTAAGATACAGCAGATAAACAAATACTTCATGTAGCTCTCTCATTTTCTTCCTTTTCATCTTCCTCTCATTCCTAACAGAGAAAAATTATAAAATACATTAAGTAATGATCCACTTAGACTAATCCTAGCTGCATAGTGTCTTGTTGTGATTGTCTGAAGAAGAACATGTGAAGCAGGGTTTTGTTTTTAGTTTAGTGATCTTAATTAGCTTTATTTTTCATTCTAGAATTAGACAAGACTTCAGTCCCTGAAAAAGGGTAATGATCCTAGAGGAGGTTTATATTTGAATGTTACCACTGATTATGGCCAAGAGGATTATTTCAGTGGCCTTACCTCTCTGTCTTGACACAAAATTTATGCCTTTTATCCTTTCCATCCTGATACCAAACAAGGCACAGCCCCAGATTCGTGATTTTGTCTTCCCATTAAGATATGAGTGACCTTTTTTTAAAAATCTGAAGATTTCTTTTTCTTTCCTTTCCCATCATTTTTCTTTTCCCTTTACATGTATCTGAATAGAATATTCAAAGGAATTATTATATAATGAATTGTTTAATGTTTAAACTGGCATTACCTGCTGCAAGCTCAGATTTAGAAACAGGGATAGTAATATACCTTCTGGCAGAGATAGCTTGACAGTCAAATGTGAAATATTTAAAATAGTATGTATGGGGCATATAACAAGCACATCACTATTTACAAATACTTTGCAGCTGATTAAAATAGTAGTTTACAGATTCCACTGGTTGAATGGTTTGAAGAATTTATTTTAATACAGTCCATATCTGAAGTTTCTGTCTTACTACCATCTTTTAGTCTTTTTATTTGGCACAGTGGCCTCATGAAAACTATGTAATTTTCTATTTCAACTACCAAACCATTATTTAATGCTTTATTTTATGTATTTTTAGGACATTTCTGATTCATTTACATCCTTGAAGAGCATCTGTAGAAGAGGAAGGAAAAGATGGGTGTGAAAACATTTACTCATAGCTCCTCTTCCCACAGTCAGGAAATGCTTGGAAAACTAAATATGCTGCGAAATGATGGACATTTCTGTGATATCACTATTCGTGTACAGGATAAAATCTTCCGGGCACATAAGGTGGTACTAGCAGCTTGCAGTGATTTCTTTCGCACCAAGCTTGTAGGCCAAGCAGAGGATGAGAACAAGAGTGTGCTGGATCTGCATCATGTTACAGTGACTGGCTTTATACCCCTTTTAGAATATGCTTACACAGCCACTCTGTCAATTAACACAGAAAACATTATTGATGTTCTAGCTGCAGCCAGCTATATGCAAATGTTTAGTGTTGCTAGCACCTGCTCAGAGTTCATGAAATCAAGTATTTTATGGAACACACCCAATAGCCAGCCAGAAAAGAGTATAGATGCTGGACAAGAAAATTCTAACTGCAATTTTACTTCTCGAGATGGAAGCATTTCTCCAGTATCTTCAGAGTGCAGTGTGGTGGAAAGAACCATTCCTGTCTGCCGAGAATCACGGAGAAAGCGCAAAAGCTACATTGTTATGTCTCCTGAGAGTCCTGTAAAGTGTAGCACACAAACAAGTTCACCCCAGGTATTGAATTCTTCAGCTTCCTACACAGAAAATAGAAACCAACCAGTTGACTCTTCTTTAGCTTTTCCTTGGACTTTCCCTTTTGGAATTGATCGAAGGATTCAGTCTGAGAAAACTAAGCAGGCAGAGAACACCCGGGCTTTAGAATTACCTGGCCCATCTGAGGCAGGTAGAAGAATGACTGATTGTGTGACTTGTGAGAGCACAAAAGCTTCCTTGCCTCTGGGTACCGAAGAAGATATCCGAGTCAAAGTAGAAAGGTTAAGTGATGAGGAGGTCCACGAGGAAGTGTCCCAGCCTGTCAGTGCGTCTCAGAGTTCACTGAGTGATCAACAGACAGTTCCAGGAAGCGAACAAGTCCAAGAGGACCTTCTGATTAGTCCACAGTCTTCCTCTATAGGTACAGTGCTTCCTTCTGTGTTTTTCATGGTGCTGTCATCAATTCTAACATTTTAAAGTTCTTTTTAGATATTTTTAAAATTTTGTTCTTATTCTTATAGGAAATACAAAAAAGTAAAACATAACTGGATTTTTAAAGATAATATTAGCACCATAGTTTTGGTTTTTTACAACTTACACATCAGGGAAGAAAAATATAGTTGAATAGTATGTGATGGGACAAAGGAGAGTTACAAGTTGTGAATTAATTTCAGTACAAAAGAAGTTTTTAAAATCTAGTTAGTGTTTTATTCTTTATTAAAGTATTTATTGAAACCTTTCCATATGCCAAATATTGCTGATACATAAAAAGACACCCGGACATAGTGGGGTACACCTCTAATTCCAGCACTTGGAAGATTGGGGCAGGAAAATTGCTGCAACTTTGAGTCGAGCCTGGGCTACATAGTGAGTTCGAGGCCAGCGTGGACTACACAGCAAGACCCTGTCTCAAAAAAGAAAAAGAAAGGACTGGGGATTTAACACAGTGCCATGGCACCTGCCTCACAAGCACAAGGTCCTGATTTCAATCCCTGGTACCAAAAGGAAAGAAAGAAAGACATAGTTCCTACAGCAGAGAAGTTAATAGTCTAATTGGGAAGACAAATAGGTAAATAAGTTATTACAGTGAACTTTAAGGAATAAAAAATAAAACATTATACAGATATCTTAAGAAAATGAGCTTAGAATTGATATATAAAAGACTTGGCTATGCAGAGACAGGCTCAGAAACCAGTTATACCAGTTAGGCATGGCCAACCTGCAGCCTGTGGGTTAGACTTAAATAGATGAATTTTGTTATTCATATATATTAACTATTATGTTTTATATGCAGCCCAAGACAGTCCTCTTCACTAAGTGCAGCTCAGGCAAACCAGGCACATCCAATTTATAGCCACAGGTTGGGTACACTTAAGAAAATAGGTATTATTAGACTTTGTAAAAGAAGAATCAGCATCACTTAATGATATTGAATACATACATAGAGGGTATGGAAGGAGTCAAAGCAGTCAGAATGAAATAGTGATACTTTAGTTATATGCGTTGATTCTCAGTCACAGGTTTTCATAATATGTCTGAATCCAGTTGAGTCCCACTTACCGTTGATAATCTTTTAGTTTTTTTCTTTCTTAGTAGTACAAAAAATTTCGTAGTAATCTTATAATGGATGGCATTTTAGCATCAACTAAATGCAGTAACTGCAGTATGAAAATCAGTGGGAGGAAATGGGAACCAGTTTTAAACAAAGTCACGTGTGTGTAAATTATATTTAGATGATAACCAAGCAGTGTCGTGCCACAAAGCAATTGAAAAGGCAGGGTAGATAAGATAACCAATTTGAGATTAATAGTGCCAAATTCAGTCTCAGTAGAAAAATATAGAACATCCCAAACCAAAGGACTGATCATTGAGAAATATCTATACTAAGGGTTGTTAACAGAAGAGCTAGCAATGAATAAAATAATAAAATCTGTCCAAAAGATTGAGCCAAACAATAACTGCTTTTTGGGGAGTGTTTTGACTCACTCTTATGAGTTTCCCAGGGCTACTGCAACAAAGCACAACCAACTGGGTGGTTTAAAACAGTAAGGATGTATTTTCTCATAGTCGAAGAGTCTGGAGTTCAAAATCAAGATGTCAGCAGGGCCTTCTTTTCTTTGAAGGTTTATAGGCAAGAATACTCTTTCTTTGCCTCTTCCAGCTGTAGCAGTTGCCAGCCTTCTTTGACATTCTGGAATTGCAGCTCCATCATACTCTAGTTTCTACTTGCATCTCACATAAACCTCCTTGTGAGTCTGTCTTCAAGTCTGTCTCCTCATAAAGACATCAGTCATTGATACAGGGCCACCCCACTCCTGGGTGACTTCATCTTAACTTGATTATGTGCACAGTGATCCCCTTTACAAACAAGGTCTCATAGGTAGCTGGGGTAAGACTTCACCATCTTTTTGGGAGACACAATTTGACCCACAGTACTCACTATAGTACATATTTCTGAATTTGAATCAAGATATTTTTGATGAATTTGAATGAACACATTTAATCATTCATCTGAGAACTTAGAAACCTAAATATTAATCTAAATATAGTGCTAATGAGACATATGAAAATCATTTTTGTCACTCAGGTAATATCTAATTGGTTCACATCTTGCCTTTATGATTTTTTGCGGGGGGTACTGGGGATCAAACTCCGGACCTTGTGCTTGCAAGGCAGGCGCTGGAACCACTGAGCTAAATCCCCAGCCCCTTGCCTTTATAAATTATTATATGGAGAAGTTGTGAACATAAGTAGAATAAACCTTTCAGTTACATAAGTAGAATTTATTACCTATATATTATTATAATTGTGGATTCTATTAAAATATGTGGACCTGAATATTATGTAATCAGATATTCCTTGCATTCATAACAAATGTACTAATGACTCAACAAAGCTGTCTTTACTGTGGTTTTATACAGTAAAAACCATACAGCAAAGAATGTAGATTCCTGAGCTTTTATAGGCAAGCAGTAAATGTGGGAGGAAGAAAAGGAAGATGTATGCTTTTTGTGCTGTATTTCATAATACTTACGAGAAGTTAATTTTACATACTAATCTGTGAAATTAATTCAAGTGGAATTTCACCTATTGTTTTAAGTTCCCTTTTTTTGCCAGTTGTCCAACAAAAGGTTATAAAATCCAACCCCCTCCACTTTAGTCAGTAAAAGCAGGCTATCAATTTTTGGTACAGTTTAGGAAAACAATTATGAAAGGACTTCATATTATGATTTTGTTATTTATGTTGAAGTATTCAGTTATCTGTATACACCAAAGACAAATATAAATAATTCTAGATAAACTGCGGTTTACTATATTAGCAAAGAATTCTGCACTCTTAAAAATTTCTCCCATTAAAAATAAAGTCAGCTGGCCGTGGTGGTACACACCTGTTATCCCAGCACTGGAGAGACTGAGGCAGGAGGATTGCTGCATGTTCAAGGCCAGCCTGGGCTATGTAGTGAGGCCCTATCTCAAGAAACCAAAAGAAAAAATCATTGGGACTTGGGATGTACCCCAGTAATAGAGTACTTGTCTAGAATGTTTGAGGCCCTGGATTCAATCCCCAGCCAGAAAATAATAAAAATGAAGTGATCAGTATGATGGTCAGTTAAGGTATTAAATAATTTCACAGTTTTCCGATTAGTAGCAGTGAGTAGATAAACTTGTTGAGGTAGGCAGCTAGAATAATAGTGGAATTGCAACATTGATTATATGCAAAAGCAGTATACTATGATTAAAAGTTCAAACCATGAACTCAAACCTGGATTTTGTTACTAGTTTCTACCACTTAATAGATGTATGACTTTGAGCAGGTTGCTTAGCCTCAACAGTTTTTATAACTATAAAGACAGGATAGGGATACAGTAGTCCCTTCTTAACCCATAGTTTCACTTCCATGGTTATCCACTGTTAACTTGTTCCAAAAATATTAAATAGAAAATTCCAGAAATAAACAATTTATAAGTTTTAAACTTCTTGCCCTTCTGAGAGCATGATGAATTCTTGCACCATCCCTAAAGTAAGAGACATCACATCTATAACTTTTATTACCACCTGTTGTTTAAAATGTTCTGTTTTATTAATAATTACTAGTCTATTATTGTACCTAATTTATAAATTAAACCTTAGCTGAGAGTAGTGGCACACACCTGTAATCCAGCACTCTGAGAGCCTCAGATGGGGGGATCTCAAGTTTGAACCCACCATGTGCAACTTAGCAACTTAGCAAGACTCTGTCTCATAATTAAAAAAAAAAAAAAAAGAGGCTGGGGATATATTGCTCAGTGCAAAGGACCTGGATTAAATCCTCAGTACCACCGATAATAAAATAAAAAGCCAAAGACCACCAGAAATGCACATGTAGTTAAACGATTCGGGGTGGTAGTTTCTGAAAATCAGTAACATGCTCCAGGTACACAGGATAAGTTAATGTGCAGGAGCCAGGCATAACCTGACCCCTACCTAAGTAGGCGTGTTCTAAATGTATTACAGAAGTGAGCCAGGTTTATGTTGCTTTAGATGGATAGATTCCTTGAGTGTGACGATTCTGCAGAGCAAGATGAAGTGACTCTGAAGAGAATGTCACAATCTGATAGCTCCATTACAAGAGTCTTTGATTGAATCTGCCTTACTAACAGAACTGTAATGACCAGAAGCATTTTGATGATGAGATACCAAGGTCCAATTTTTATTATAAGACTGAGGTTTGGGATTAATGTGGTAAGGACAACTTAAATACCAGAAGGGCCTGTAAAAGGAATCCACTTTCTGAAGTGTTTAAGGAACAGCTATTAAATTTTTGTCAGATAGAAGATAATAGATCCAGCAGTCTGTTAAAGTCAGAGGAGCAGCTGTGGACTGGGGAAAGCATGAGTTTTGTTTTTCCTTCATTGATAAAAGGAGATCTTAAGCAGTCAAAAACAATAGAATGGTGCTGAAAGAGCATAACTAATAGAGTTGGTGGTTCGAGCAAAGGGACAGAAAAGAGTACTGAAGAATCAGAAATTGCATCTGGGGACTGGGGATTTAGCTCAGTGGTTCCAATGCCTGCCTCAAAAGCACAAGGTCCTGAGTTCAATCCCAGGTACCAAAAAAAAAAAAAGAAAGAAAGAAATTGCATCTGGTTTCATTATCTTGAGTAAAAGGTATCCATTTTTGAAGTTAGCTTCTTCTGGGGAGTCCCTTAGAATCCTTAGATTAAATTCTCCCCATGGAATGGATATACACCAATGAGAGGAATGTGACTGATGTATGACTTGTACGTTGGGAACAGTGAAGCTAAAACCCAACACCTTGGGAGTCTTATTCTTAGCTCCTTTCCTTTCTTTGCCCTTATGTACAAGAGCAAGTTTTCTCTGGTTTCTTTTCCAGAAGACCAAAACTCTGCATTTTAAACCATTCAGAAGCTGCTTAAGTGAA